CCCATGCCAGTTCCACCATCCTGTCCACTTTCCAACAAAGCAGAAGGGAAGAGTGGGCTGTTCTAGGGCTGGTTGGCAGAGCACAAGCCTCTTCATTCTATGGCTCTGCTTGTAAGCCTGGTTCAGGTAGGAACCATGCACAGGCCTTAATCGTTCTTCTGTGGAGCTGCAGGAAACATAAAGTGTCTGTTCATTGAGGACTGTGTGGCTCATGATTAAAAGCTGCTGTTCAGCATGTGTATTTGAAGAGGGAAATACGGAACAGAAAGGCAGGCAATATGCAGAGATGCTGGATCAGGGTTACCGCTCTTATATTCCAGCTCCATCAACACTAAACGATGACACTGCTCTTTCTTTACTACATTCTGTGGGGTAAAGCAAATCTGTGTTAACAGCCATTAAAGAAAATCCGGAGGTGTCTGAAGTGGTGAAAAACTAGTAGGATTGCAACATACCTGCACACATCTTGCCATGAGTTCACAGGCAGCACAACAAGAAGTGCCTGCAGGGAAAAGCACAGCCAACAGGGATACAGAGACTGAACTTACAGAGATGTGAGGAAGCACCTCTTGGGAGCTATTTCATTCAGTTTAATTTAACTGGGATCATATGATTGCTTCAACCCACATGCAAACTAATAAAGTGTGCATATCAACAAACATGAAATTGAGCAAACTTCAGAGGACAGGGGAAGACAGGAGGGCCTGGCGTGATCTAGTTCATGGGGTCGCGAAGAGTCGAACTTGACTGTGCAACTGAACAACAAAAATATTGAATGGGAATTCTAACACGCGTTATTGCTTGTAAAAACAGAGCTGAACATGTTACATAATCCCCCTCTTGAGATCTAGATTGAATTTTTGTCGGTTGGTTATACATTATGATAGGTTGAATTGTACATAGGATTGGGGAGTGTGGGTACAGGCTTTTGTTTAAACAAGGGGTTGTTGTTTTTTAATGGTATACTGTCAACAAGTTCCACAGTTTATAGTAGAGCAGCTATAGTTTTTAAATTGTTAGGCCAGAGATCCCAGGATCTCTCAGAAACTGGGCAAATACCACCATAGGTGTCTTAACCATATCAAACAGCTTGTAACAACATCTAAAGTAAGAGACATACAAGTCACAATAGGAATTAGAAAAATATACCTTGCAATTTTCTAATCATGAAGAGTCACCGAGGGGATTTTTCCATGTTTCCACTTTGGATCTTAAGAAGCAGCAAAGCTGCAAGTCAAGAACACAAATGGAGTGAAAACAGCAGTGAGACTGTGGAGGGAACAGGAACCAGTGATGACTCAACTTTGCCACTCTTAGTTCCAACTGCAGCTCCTGTGCTGGGCCTTTGCCAACACCCAGGAGGAACAATACAGAGGCCCACAGATGATTTGTCAAATGTGCATTTCCACCTGTAACAGCAGTAGGCTTACCAAACGCCGGCGGGGGAAATCTATTTCCTGGCAGGATGCGTGCCGCGGGGGACGGCTGTGCGCGCTGCACCCGCCGTCGCCAGGATGTGATGCTCCGCGTTACTCTGGCAACGGGGCTGTTTGGGTCCCGTTGCCAGAGTAACGCGGAGCGTCACATCCTGGCGACGGCGGGTGCAGCGCGCACAGCCGTCCCCCGCGGCACGCATCCTGCCAGGAAATAGATTTCCCCCGCCGGCGTTTGGTAAGCCTAGTTCAGGAGAGGGCGGTGAGCTGTCTGACTCCCCAAAGTTTCATGCTGGAATGAATGTGGTTAGTCTTCAAGGGGTCGCTATTGAGATCTCGGAAGTTAAGCAGGGTCAGCGCTGGCTAGTATTTGGAAGGGGGACTTCCAAGGAATACCAGGATCGTGATGCGGCGGCAGGCGATGGTGAGCCCGTTTCTGCACGCCTCTTGCCTTAAACCCTGTCGGGGTTGTCGTAAGTCAGATGTGACTGGACGGCCAAAAAAAAAAGTGGATGAGAGCCCCCCCCCCCCCCCCCCCCCTTGACGGGAAATCTGCGCTGGTGGCCACTAGGCTGAGAGTCGCGCCGGGGAAGCCTCCCCCTGTATGTGTCGCCCTGCGACGGCCTCTTCTTTGCCCCCAGCTTCGTACAGCCTGTTGGGTCCTGCGCTTTGGGCCGCTGCCGAGGGAGGGGGCGGGGCGTGTTTTTCGTGCAGCGTAAATGGCTCTACTCGGAGAGAGGCGTGCAGCGCCACCACTGGCAGCGCCCTGTTCTTGAGTCTGCCATTTCCGGCGCCATTCGTCATGTGTTCGTGCTCCGCCCTGCTGCATCGTAAGTCTAAGTAAACTGAGCTTCGCTGGGTGGAGAAAAGGCGCACTCTTCTGTTGCTGTCCGGCGTTTAGAGCAGTTTGTGTTAAAGGCTCAGGGTGTAACAGTGCCACCTGCTGTGAACCGAGTGTCACCTTGCAGCTAAAAGCAGCAGAACCGGGCCCACGAAAACATCAGCTAGAAGCAACTTTTGCGGTCCTATAATGGCACCCAGTGGAACCCTCTCCCGTCTCCTCTCTCTCCCAAGCTACGCTTGCTGCGCTCTTTCAGCTTAGGCGCCCAAAGGCATACTTACTTCACGCGAAGCGAGACGGGCGGAAGAATTAAAAAGGGATGGAGCGCCGCTGTCCCAGGGATGAGCAGAAGCACCACCCCCTATAGATGGGGGTGGTGGCAGAAGGGACACCGCCTCCCACTCCGCCCAGGAAGCCGGCTCCTCCCCTCAAAACAGACGAGAAGCAGCTCGCGGGAACAAACTATGTAAAAGCAAAAAAGGGCGGTCCCAGGCGAGCTTACAGTGGGGGGGCGGGGGGGGGCACAAAGCTCCTTCCAACTCGCAACTCCTAGCCCTGCTCCGCCGGGAGCTATTACTCGACTGCACAATCACCCGGGGCCCCTTCCACGCCTCCTTCCAGCCGAAGGGGTGACGCTTTCCTTACAACCCGCCCCTCCCCCGCTCCGAATTTTCGTCTCCCCTCGCCCGCTGCTTCCAGAAAAGCCCGAGACGACCCCCCCCCCCACAGACGCCCGGAAAAGGGCTGCGTGCATTCTCCCAGGCACACTGGCGTCACCGGGACGAACCGCCAGCACCCCCACTCTTTAGTAGAACCAAGTCGGCTTTCTCCACACCCCCACCAGGCCCGTTCCCTGCGCTCAACTTACACACGCGTCCAAGCAGCTCCCCTTCTCTCAGCTAAATGATTAGCCCTTCCTCATCCAGTTAGGAGGATGGACTTCTGCCAGCCAATCCGCGCGGTTGGCGAGATGACACGTCTGTCCCCTGATTGGAGGGCAGGAGATAACTGTTCCAGCCCTTCAAATGACAAAAACCCTTGATTTTTTTTTAATTTAATTTTTTTC